AGAAGTGTACCCACAAATCCAGAAGTGTACCGAACGAGTCTATGTGATAGCCGGCAGTGCTGTCACAAATTTCACTATGTCCATCATGGTTCCAGAAACACGTTGGCCATTGGCATGCATGCGCGGCGGTGTGATCTGTTGAAACCACGCACATTGGCATGCATGTGCGGCGGTGTGATCTGTTGAAACTACGCATGTGCGTTTCTGGAGCATGAACCCCGAACCTTATACCCTCAATCCCCAAGCCCAGGTCTGATTAGGTCTAATTGCTGGTCCGTGGTCCTGTTGCACGTGTACTCGATACATCGATCTATAAGTAACACATGGCCGAGACTGCATGAAACCCGGACCTTATACCCTCAATCCCGAAACCCGGGTCTCGACAGGTAATTGCTGGTTCTTCGTCCTGTTCGAAGTGTAAACGATACATCGATGCGATCTATAAGTAACACGTATACCGAGTCTGGACAATGAACACCGGACCTTATACCCTCAATACCGAAACCCGGGTCTCAATAGGTCTAATTGCTGGTCCTTGGTCCTGTTCCATGTGTACCCTATATCGTTATAAGTGACACGATCGATGTCTAGACCAAGAATCCCGAAGCTTAGACAATCAATCCCGAAAACCCAAACCCCCAGGCGATTCCCTATATATATATATATATATATATATATATATCTATATCTATATCTATATCTATATCTATCTATATATATATATATTATGTATATCTATATCTATTTATCTACATGCATGCATGCATGCATGCATGTGGTGCATGCAGGAGTCCTGCAATAGTCAGGCTCGGTCATATGCTGGACTCGGTGGCTTGGCAGCAGAACAGTCGTTAGTGTCTGTTGAGAGAGAGGAATGCAGAGGGCGTGGAATCTGGAAATGTAGCCGTATAAGGTTAAGTCTCCGAAGTCTTCGCGCCTCTCTACGGCCTCTACTGCTGCGAGTATCTGCTCCTCCAAAGGATCCGATGTGTTCTGGCTTGCACCAGTACTAGTTACTAGTCACAGAGAGGCGGAGCATTGGACACATTCTAAGCTATAGCCACTCAGGCTGACAGCAAAAGGAAGGCAGAGAAGAGCAGCCCGGAAGCACCAACGTCTGAGGAGCGGAAGAAGCAAAAGCTTGCCAAAGTTCCTGCTGCACAGGGCATGGACCCAAAGGCGGCAGCTGCTCGTTGCGCCATTCCAATAGCCGCACGCCGCAAACCTTAATTGAGAAAGGCTTCGTGCATACGGCTTTCCAGATCTTGGGTTTTACATATCCTGTGCCCTGCATGCAGGTGTCCAAGAAGCCTTGCGAGGGAAGTGGTGGGTCCAAGCCACAAGCCGAGGCTAGGCCTTGAAATATGCTTGGTGCTTGCACATGCATGCTGATTGCGAGTGTCATGTAGTACTTCTCGAGTTCGCGGTGTTGAGGTGTCGAAGAAGCCGGGCGAAGGATGTGGTGCTGTGAAGAAGGGTCCTGGAGCTTCCCAAGAAGCTACGGGAAAGGTGGCAAAGACTGGAGAAGCAGCTGCTGTTGCTTTCAAAGCTTCCAAGCCGCAAGCCGAGGCCGCGCCTTGATATGTGCTTGTTGCCTAGACATATGCAGATGGCCAACGATCAAGTGCGTGACACAGCATATACTAAAGATATAGCCGCCGGTTTTCAGGTGTCCACTAAGAAGCCGGGTGATGGAAGTGGTCCGGAGAAGAAGCGAGCTTCCGAAGCCTCGGCTCCGGAAAAGGTGGCTAAGACTGGAGAAGTGGCTGCTGTTGCTCCCAAAGCTTCCAAGCCGCAAGCCGAGGCTTGGCCTTGATAGGTGCTTGGTTCCTAGATGTATGCAGATGGCTCAGGATCATGCATGCATGTGCTTAAAGTATCACATTCACTGTGTTCAGGGATCCAAGAAGCCGGGCGATGGAAGTGGTCTGGAGAAGAAGCGAGCTTCTGAAGCTTCAGCTCCGGAAAAGGTGGCTAGGACTCCACAAGTGGCTGCTGTTGCTCCCAAAGCTTCCAAGCCGCAAGCCGAGGCTTGGCCTTGATAGGTGCTTGGTTCCTAGATGTATGCAGATGGCTCAGGATCATGCATGCATGTGCTTAAAGTATCACATTCACTGTGTTCAGGGATCCAAGAAGCCGGGCGATGGAAGTGGGCCGGAGAAGAAGCGAGCTTCCGAAGCTTCAGCTCCGGAAAAGGTGGCTAAGACTGGAGAAGCAGCTGTTGTTGCTCCCAAAGCTTCCAAGCCGCAAGCCGAGGCTGGGCCTTGATATGGATATGGCGAACTTATCATATTCCCTGTATTCAGGTGTCCAAGAAGCCGGGTGATGGAAGTGGGCCGGAGAAGAAGCGAGCTTCCGAAGCTTCAGCTCCGGAAAAGGTGGCTAAGACTGGAGAAGCAGCTGCTGTTGCTCCCAAAGCTTCCAAGCCGCAAGCGGCCGAGGCTGGGCCTTGATATGGATATGGCGAACTTATCATATTCCCTGCATTCAGGTGTCCAAGAAGCTGGGTGATGGAAGTGGGCCGGAGAAGAAGCGAGCTTCCGAAGCTTCAGCTCCGGAAAAGGTGGCTAAGACTGGAGAAGCAGCTGTTGTTGCTCCCAAAGCTTCCAAGCCGCAAGCCGAGGCTGGGCCTTGATATGGATATGGCGAACTTATCATATTCCCTGTATTCAGGTGTCCAAGAAGCCGGGTGATGGAAGTGGGCCGGAGAAGAAGCGAGCTTCCGAAGCTTCAGCTCCGGAAAAGGTGGCTAAGACTGGAGAAGCAGCTGTTGTTGCTCCCAAAGCTTCCAAGCCGCAAGCCGAGGCTGGGCCTTGATATGGATATGGCGAACTTATCATATTCCCTGTATTCAGGTGTCCAAGAAGCCGGGTGATGGAAGTGGGCCGGAGAAGAAGCGAGCTTCCGAAGCCTCAGCTCCGGGAAAGGTGGCTAAGACGCCAGAAGCAGCTGCTGTTGTTCCCAAAGCTTCCAAGCCACAAGCGGCCGAGCCTGGGCATTGAAATGTGCTTAGTGTTGGCACTTGCCGCTGGCAGAGCTCCTGTGCTTTGCATGTGATGTCATGAATTGTATCCGAAGGTGTCGAAGAAGCCGGGTCATGGAAGTGGGATGGAGAAGAAGCGACCTGCAGCCTCCGAAGCTGAAACTACGGGAAAGGTGGCTAAGACTGCGGAAGCTGCTGCTGTTGCTCCGAAAGCTTCCAAGCCGCAAGCCGAGGCTAGCCCTCGACATGTGCTATAGGTGTTGACACATGCACATAGCAAGGATCAGAACATCATGCACTTCACGTATCATATGCCCTGTATGAAGGCGTCGAAGAAGCCGGGTGAAGGAAATGGTGCTGTGAAGAAGTGTCCTGGAGCTTCCGAAGCCGAGACACTGGGAAAGGTGCCGAAAGCAGCCGGCGGAGACATGTTGTAGTATACATCATATCGTGATATGGTCTTCCCTAAGCAAATCAATCAGGCGGCAAAAGCTTCCAAGCCAGAAGTTTTGCACAAGGACGTCAGCAGCGATCTTGCAAATGCTTTCATCATGCTATTTGTTTTATAAATGCTTTGTACATCATATCCTCTATTCAAGGAGACTCCCGTGGCAGATTCTGCGGAACTGGCCAACGGCACGCAGCGAGCTGCGACGGCTCCAACAGAGGCCGAGCCCAGGGGGTGTTGTGCTAGTCGTGGATCTGTATATATATATATATATATATATACGTGTGTGTGTATATATATATATATATATATTCCTATTTCCTGCTTATATAAATATTTATCCAACCAACACCGATCCGTGACAAGCACCTTGTCGTGCTCCCAAGTAACCTGAGGGCAAACTCCACATATATCGATATATATATATATATATATATATCGAGGGGTTTACGATTTAGGGTTTAGGGTTTTGGGGTTTAGGGTCTCGGGCTTAAGGGTTCCTCTGAGGCTTCCTGCAAGTACGGGATGAGGGCTTGTAGGGCTTTGAGGCTCGGTTCCTAGACAAGCGCTTTCTGAGGGTTCCTTAACGGGTGTGCTAATTATTAATCAATTATAACCGGTGGCCATAACTATAAGATAAGGCCTAGCTTGACTTGGGATTCTTGGGTTTAGGGCTTGAGGGGTTCAGGGGTGCATGGTTTGGGCCATGCATGCAGGTTAAGGCTCTGTGGGATTAACGGGCTTAGGGGTTGAGGGATCAAGGGTTATGCCAGGGTCTAGGAACTATCTCTGCGCAGGCCACAAGCAAGAAGAGACCAGCGGAGGCAACCACCCCCAGCAGACGAGTGCGAGGGAAGCAGGACCTAGAGGCCTATCCCATGTACATATTAATGTTTATATATTTTTATATATAGACACAAGCCCCCTAACCCGCTGCTGTATAGTTAGGACATCACGACTGGACGGGATTCTGTATGTAACAGCTAGGCAGACTGCTGTTCCACTGCTGTGTAGTTTATACATAAGGACTATACCCGCTGCTGTATAGTTTCTATATAATATCTATGTAATTTTTTCTATGCCTTGCCTAGGCAAGAACCTATAATATGATCCTCCATATAATGACCATTACGTGATGCCGGCTGCTGTTGAGTTACGTCCAGTATAATTGAGACAGGAGGCTTATATTAGGGTATACCCCCAGTGCGGTATAGCTCCTCTGTCCAAGCCTTATAAAGTGTTTCTCTATTTTATGCCTAGCAAGAACTGCTCATCTGCATAGTAACCACGCACTCTAGCCATCCCTGTAGGTTTTCCAGACCGGGTGTATCGCCCTGAATAAGCTATGCCCTTTCCTCAAGAACTACTACTGCAGTTGACCCTCCATGAACCATCGTATTCTCCCAGTGGCTCGGACCCAGGCTCCTGCAGGCAGCCGTCCAGCGAAGAAAGTGCTCAGCGACGAGCAGATCAAGGGCCTGCAAGAGATGAGTCAGCCGAGTGTGGCTAGGCTTGAATATATTGTTGTTCTCTGAGGGGTCCACATCCTGCTGTGGACATTCTGAGGACATGCCGCGTACGGAGCGCAAGAAACACTTTGCGTGGCTCAACCGGCAGACAAAGGCTGATCCAGAGCTCTTGGCAAAGTATCAGCTTCTGAAAACTGATGATGACAAGCCCCTCGTCCACTGATGTTTGTTTGTCCATCGATGAGGATGCTAGGGTCTCTTATCGGGACCATGGCAGCCGTCTCTCTGTCTGTCACACTCTCTCTCTCTCTCTCTCTCTCTCTCTCTCTCTCTCTCTCTCTCTCTCTCTCTCTCTCTCTCTCTCTCTCTCTCTCTCTCTCTCTCTCTATATGTTTCCTTATCTGCATACCACAGTCTCCCTCGCTTGCAAGACAGGTTCCGCTTCTTGAAGGACTGCCTGCTGGCCAAGGGTGATGCAGCGCCGCCGGTTGCGGTCAAAGAGACCTTCAAGGATCTCACTCAGGACGAGCAAAAGGACAAGTATGTGACGGTGCCCTTCAGCATGCACTTCCATACGCTATAGTATCCTCAATGATCTTTTTGTCGGAATACTTCTACTCGTTAATTTCGGCCCCGACCCCGAGTGTAAACCCTGCCCGAAACCATGAATCCTAAACCCCTACGCAATAGATCCTGCAGTGTCAGATACACCCTAAACCCTAAACCGTAATATGCATGGCCATCCCTGCAGATGACAGAGATCCAGCTGCACCGGGAATTTCCTGGTGAGGACGGTGCCGCGTTCATCAAAATTCTGAAAGCCGGCCTCTTGGATACTATCCTTTCAGAACCCCGCACAAAACAAAGCAGCCAACCAAACCTCGATCCAGGACACTTCTGCAAAGAGAGCGAGAGAGAGTGAGGGAAGGGAAGAGAGACGCAGAGAGATAAAGAGAAAGAGACAGAGAAAGAGAAAGAGGAAGAGGAACAGGAAGAGAAAGAGAGAGATGGAGACCACCAGAAGTGAGAGAGAGGTACTTAAAGAGTAAGACTGTGAGTTGTCGGGTCGATCTGAGGCCAGAAAGGAATTCCGCATCCGCAGGCGCCAGAGTTCTCACCAGCCAAAAGGTACCGCGTTTTGAAAGAGAACCTCAACACAAAGGCCTTTGCCCGTTCCACCGAGTCCGAGGCCGGGTCGAATGCTGCACATTGGAGGATCTGGCTTGCCTCGGGTGTGCAAAAGAACTCGGAAAGTGTTCTCGATCGTAGCCATCCTAGAGGTCTACACAGGGCCCCAGGGTCAATCCTAGCCTTGTGCGTGTGTAGGGCCCAGATCGAATCCTAGTCTTCGGCATGCAGGTGAATGTTACAGCTGAGCCGGACGACGAGGGCAAGGAAAAGCTTATCAAGACGGTGAATGACTTTACCAGTGCGATGGACCAGGCAATCAGCAAGCCCATGGAAACCGGGAAAACTATCAAGCCCAAGAAGATCCTCACCCCGGAGCAGCAGGCGGACAAGGACATCATGAAAACTTTCAAAAAGCTCCGTGGCAGTATATGTGTGCAAACAAAACCTATTACAATTGCTCCTGCACCCAGAATCGACATGCATGTGATGATCTGTTAACATCTAAGAATGCTTCAGCTTCCGAAGAAGCTGGTGGACCTCAACTTGGAGCTGGAGCAGGTCAAGTTCACGAACGAGCTCCGTGCCGAGATCGAGAAAAGCATTCCCCTGGTGGAGCAGATGACCAAGGCCTATGACGGCAAGGTAGGGCCCGATGACTCTTTGGACCGCAAGAATATCGTGCACAGCGAGATGAAGCAGGATATGATGCCCTTCGATGAGATGATTCGCGAGGCAAGGAAGCGGCTGCCAAGCCAGAAGAAGAGCCGAAGCGACGCGACTGATGAATCCGAGGGCTGAGATGGGTTCAGATTGTCACGGATTCCAGATAACAGGAACCCTGAGCCCCAGCCTGCGAGCCCACCCTAGCCGAGACCTTAGACCCTAAAGCCATTGATAGCGCTAAAGCCCGAACTGCTTAATTCGTGTTTCAGGTTATTCCCGGAAACTCTTTAACCCTACTGACAACCCTGTAGGCCCGGATCCAAAGCCATTGATAGCGCTAAAGCCCGAACAGCTTAATTCGTGCTTCAAATTATTCCCGGAAACTCTTTTATCCTAGTGACAACCCTATAAGTTCCGATCGAAAGCCATTGATAATGCTAAAGCCCGAACATGCATGCAGCTTCATTCGTGTTTCAGGTTATTACCGGAAACGCCGGAAACTCTTTGACCCCAGTGACAACACTATAAGCCCCGATCGAAAGCCATTGCATGATAGCGCCAAAGCCCGAACAGCTTGATTCGTGTTTCAGGTTATTCCCGGAAACTCTTGAACTCTAGCGACAACCCTATAAGGCCCGATCGAAAACCATTGATAGCGCTAAAGCCCGAACATGAAGCTAAATTCGTGTTTCAGGTTATTCCCGGAAACGCCGGAAACTCTTTGACCCCAGTGACAACACTATAAGCCCCGATCGAAAGCCATTGCATGATAGCGCCAAAGCCCGAACAGCTTGATTCGTGTATCAGGTTATTCCCGGAAACTTTTAACCCTAGTGACAACTCGAAGCCCCGATGGTGTATTATATATATATATAGGACTATTGTACCTCACCCTCTTTTTGTAATAAGGGTTAGGCTTCCCGGTTCTGCTGCAGGTTTTGCCGCTATGTGTACGGTCTATAGATTAATATTATACTGCTTTAAATTATATCGACGCAGAACGATGTTTGCATCTGTGACTCGATCTGGATCGGTCAGCGAAGTAGCACTGCAGACTGGCGGATGTGTGTTGGCACCTGCGTCGGTATTGTGCACATAGCAAGGCCACCTCACTGGATTTCTGGGCATCCTTTTCGGCCACAAGAACCCCAAACCCTAAACCCCTAAACCCTAAACCCTAACTTCTGAATGACCTGCATGTGCATAACACCCCCACGAAGCAACAACTATTCGGATCAACAGTTGCCCAAAATTAAGCCGACACCCCGAAGCCTACATAACACTCATGCAAACCCCCAGGTTCCCAACAACCTGTGATAGCAGCTATATCCCCGACCCTGGAAAAGAAAAGCAATCACCCTTGATCCTTGTCTGTGCACATGAGAAATCCGATGTATGTGCTGGCTTTTGCACAACAATTTATAATTGGATGCCAGGGCGTGTGTTCTAGACATTAGCCTTCGGCAGCTGCTGCTGCTCAGGACGCGGAATGATGGCCACATTAGCCATATGACTTGCTGTTTGATTTATGTAATCTGTTTTGTCCGGCCGAGTTCTGATACAATACAGCTTGCGACCGCAATCTGTGCAGCACTGTGTTGCATACACCGCAAGGGCTGGCTGCTGAGTCGATGATCAGCGAGATCTTTCGACTCGCAGGGAGGGAAGAAGTCAACACACCATGTGCATGTGTGTGTGGGTGTGCGGGGTCTCGGTCTGGAGTGTGTCTACTCGCAGTTTAAGCCGCTCAACATGTATATTGCTAGGTTTTGATCTGTGCTACACTTGCACGAAGCAACGGCATATAGATCTTGAGGTTTTCCTCACAATATTCAGAAACCCGATTACTAGTCCTGAACCCTGCAGCCCAAACCTACTGCGTAGTTTACCCGCCATGGTAATACTCAAACCCTAGGATTTGTGACGGAGTTTGGGAGTCATCTTCACACGTTCCAGGGCATCCGATTGGATTACTAGACCCTATGCCCGTGACCTGAGATAAGCAACCCTCAACTCTAGAATGTCCCAGTTTCATTGCAACAATCCGAGTTGCATGTGGATTTGCCGCAATAAGCCACTCGATCTGCCCACAGCATGGTGAATGTTTTCCTTCCGTCACTGTCGGAGCTCATCTGGAGGTCTGGGACGTATCTTGGCATGCAGCTACATGCATGTGATTCCCATGTCGCTTGAAATCCTGCACGAGGTAACAATGATCGGAGCTATATGGGACAAATCATGCGATCCGCTATGACTGAAATATGGACCTCGTCGAGCAGCTCTTGGACATAGCTCATTCGATTACCACTGAGAAAATCAAGAAAGTTGTGGATTCGATTGCTGCTCGAGTGCCCCATTGCTTGCTCCCGAGACTTGTTCCAGAAGGTGCACACAAGTTAGCTTCTGCAGCTTTTTAGTGGGTTTGGGGCTGGAGTCCTCTTGCATGGAGTGCTAGCAAGGCAAAACCTGGTGGATTTGGCATCGTACCAGCTAGACCGCAATGTCTTCCGAAATTTCAACCGCTGGGTCGAGCGCCAGGAGTGGCGCAAGTCACTTCCACAGCCTCAACCGTGCCTTGTCGATACCCTGAAGCCTAAACCCCGAATTCAAGATTTCATCCGAACTGCTGAAAGCCGAGGGTGGAGGTCGTCCTACGTGACAAAAAGCGGGACTTGCAAGATCAACGCTACATTGGAACCTGGCACATGCACTTTCCGCATGAAGTGACACTGGACTGGATGTAATGACACTGTCTTACAACAGCTTGCAATTGCAATGCCCCTGAATTGTGTCCTTGCATCCGAGGTTCCATGTTATCCATGGATATTCCGAAGATCGCTTCAGACAGTTCTTCTTGGGCGAGCCGGGAGTGCCTTGGATCAGCAGTCATCACCCTCATAAAATAAAGGATCGAAGATGTGTCTCTTATGTATATAGTTAAACACATGCCTAAAAGCACGGTACAACAACAATACACTCGAAGACTTTGCACAAGTGCATGTTTTTTACATATAGCATGCTTAGGAATTGGAGAAGTTCTGGAATCACACTCGCAACACCGAGCTGCCCGATTGCATGGTTTGAGGCTCAGGATCAAAATTCTTAATATGTGGATCCAGGGGTGTTAGAATTTCTTGATCTCGGATATGATTGGGTCGCCCGGGGTACTTCTCAGATTTCGGAGTTTGGGCTTTTGGACTTGCATAGACTCAACCCTAAGCCCTAAAGCCAGTAATGGTCTAATTACACTCCCCTTATCGATCCATAGCTAAGGTGGTTCCTTAACCACCCGTGGCTGCCTACATTGTCCGATCCTGGGCTAGATGTTTTCAACTGTTTTGGTCGATGTGTCCACCCGCCTACATGACTCGATCATGCAACCTATCAACCAGGACAACGACCTTCTCCGGACAGTACCTTTGGAAATCCACGGCGACGACGCTCAAGTTCACAGCCGAAGGGGGTTTCTGGTTTTGAGCATGCGCTCTGCAGTCACCAGAGGGCCCACCCTCAACACATTGTTCCCGCTGTATGTATTAGACAATGAACAGGCAGGCACAGGAACTGTCCCTCGTCGGCAGAAGTCTCTTAAAAGTATATAGGGTTATGGGTCTAAGGGCTGTGCGGTAGGGTCTAGAGCTTACCTTATATAACCCGGTAGGGTTTAGGCTGGGTTCAGGTGTAGGCTTTAGGCTTTAGGGTACGGTTTGGGGCTTAGGGTTTAGGTTTTCTGCTATGGCTTTAGGATTTAGGCTTTCGGGTGGTATTTAGGGTTTGTGTGAAAATGATGACTTCAAGAATCCAGCAGCCCATAAGGTAGCTCAGCTTGACCACTATGTTGTTTGGAGCCTGGCGCAGCTTCAACATGGAACTACATACAGCTTTGATGCCTGGGGGAAAACGATTCCGGGGCACGAGCCCTACCGGCTTGCTGGTGGATTTCGAGCTGTGGTTGCGGGTATCAAGGGCGACCAACAATGGGTCAAGAAGGCTCTACGATTGGAGAAGAGTTGGGTGTCCAAGAACATGTGTTGGCACTGCCAGGCTGCTAGGCTCGATATCGGTTACATCAGAAGCAACAACCTCACCCTGCCTCGACTTTGAAACAGATATTCGGCTTTAGCTTCGAGGGCTTAGTGTTCAAGGTTTAGAATGTTAGTTTTAAGCTCAGGGTCCTGAGGGTTTGTTTTTCCAGCTGACTTATATGCATATCCCATGGGTCTAGAGTCTAGAGGGTTATGTTTTAAGCTCGGGTTTCCAAAGGGTTAAGGGTTTTTCACCAGAATGCTGCTCGAGGCCAGCAATGAGAAGGACTCACCATACCTCTACACCAAACATGGCCCCAATGCTGCCTATCGCTCGACGAGCCTCGGGTGCACGTTATCCATGGCACCTATTAGCAACCATATACCTGTGGTAGGTCTCACGGAAGTTCTATATGTATACACGATCAGGATGCGTTCTCAAACCGATCTGGTCAAGATGGCATGCCGAAGCCCTTGGATTATGGTCCCTGGATTATCCCTGCAACGGGTATGGCCTGATATCCTTCATGTTCTGGACTTGTCGCTGGCGCCAGAAGCAGCAGCATCGGTTGCACGGCTGTTGTGTGATACTGTTAATTAGATACAAGTATCTATACGTACAGGGAACTGGAGTTGTGTTGTCCGAGGCTTTAGGGTGAAGGGTCTAAGCTCTGGGGTATGAATGACGACAGATCGGGTCGATATCTTCTGCACCCGGTGATCGAGGTTTACGCCGTCGGGTTATATATATATATATGTATATGTTTGCACGCAGCCCTGTATCCCTGTCCTGTCTATAACTATATATATGGACCTACCCATCTCGTGAATATCCATTTCCATGCCCCTCTCGGACCCTGTAGCTTGATACAATATTTCTGGGCTTCTATATGCAAATATAGTAGGGTTTCGGGCACAACTACTCCTGTAGAGTTTAGACATATTTTTGGTCATTGGCATGTCCCTCTCCTGTACTTTTTCTACAGTAATGGATATGTCGATGTTGCTATGCAACTCGTAGGGTTTGGGGGGCAACCACTCCTGTATAGTTTAAAGCAGGAGAAAGGTCGAATTGAGCCGGCATTAGCCAACGCATGGGATTTCGAGTTCAGGTCGTGTTTGCTTGTATAAGGGGAGATTCTCAGTATATATATATATATATATATATTTATTTTTTATATATGCGGGGTCGATATTCTGGGAAATATAATATAAGTATATTCAAGTTCTTCATCCAGATCGGCTCCTCGAGGTATTGGAATTTGTGCATATTCCGACCCAAAAAAACCCGGATATACAGATCCACCCCGGCCGGTCTTAGCATATATTAGGATAGGATAAGTTGTCCTAATCAGGCACCTACGTACTGTGAACCCATTCCTGCCCTAATACACAAATCCCAGCCTAACCTACACACCCGTGAACCTTTTTTTTTTTCCCACTTAAGGCGATCGTGGAGCTCACTATGGACGCGACAGTGTGGTCGGCATCCACTGTTGAAGGCCGTGTGAGCCAGGCATATGCTGAGTATGTGGCTGCATGCAAGAGGAATAATGTTCGCATCTTGGCTGCAATGGATCTACCCTTCGAAGCGCCCTGGCCTGGAGTCCGACATGATTTTCCGAATGTGCCTGCACTAGGCGCAATCTTAAGCCGCCCAGGATCCAGAGCTCCGCCTTTCAGCCTGAAAGCTATGAAGAAGCCGGGGGAGTTCCCTACCTTTGCTCAGAAACACCTTTCTGGAGCGGATCCGTGGCCTCCGAAGTCTTAAGATTCAATGGTTTCATCCAATTGAGTAACCATGCTGGGATGGATCAACCACACATCCATGTATCTCGATCCGAGGAGTCGGTCGTGCTAATCCGGTGGCTTGCTAGTGTCACCAACAAGGTCGCTGCAGAGACAAAGACGCAGCACGATCGGATGCGGGCGGCAGTCTTCCTGTCTATGGCATGCTTGAGAAAGAACTTCAGTTCTTGTGGCCTGATCCCAGATGAGGAGTCGCTCCGGAAAGCTGCATATCACTGCGGGCTCTACTTCAATGCGTTGTATTGGCTGGCGGGCGAGGCTATCCAGAAGAAACAACTCTTATGGAAATTTCGCCCAAAATGTCATCTGTGCCTCGGCTAATTCAATATTCTGGTTCCGTCTAATTAAGTCAAGCATCACGATGAATTTAAATTCATCGTGCCTTGATTATTGGGTTCAGGCTGGAGCACCTTTGTCTCGACCATGCAAAGCTGCTCAACCCAATGCAAACATCGAACTACTCGGAAGAGGACATGGTCGGCCGTATCAAACGGCGACGAAGCTGCACTAAATCCCGGCATGGCACGGTTGTCTAAGTAGAGTTGAGCGGCATCCGGGATGCTTGAAGTCTTGTCATTTGCAGCAGCAGCCGGAGCACTCGATTTCCGCACGATTGGATCCAGGGTGCAACGTGCAACTTGGCTAGCTAGGAACCAAGTGACGCTGCACACAGCTCGATCTGGAAATTCCGACGAGAAGCTGCATCTCTTTTTCCAAGCCTTGAAAGCCTAAATTGTGATTAAACCGCGAATCCCAGCATTCTTGCTTAACTCTCAAGAGCACCGGCTCCGCTTGAAGCATAAACTCAAGAAAGCTTCAGCCATTCCGTGGATCCGAGGCTGGCCGTCACATGTCACCCTGCGCAGCTGGGCAAAACCTGTCTTCAGCGGTATGCCTGGCATGCCTGTGTGCGCTGGCTGTCCGAGAGCTGCGAGCCGTGAGCCTTGCGAGTGCCAAAAATGACAGTGTGTCTGAAGCCGGAAGCCGAGACGCCCTGGAGCCTAAGCCTGCTGCACCGGAGACCACTCCAGTAGGACTCTTTAATTCTTCAGGCCTCATATCGCATTATATACTCCAATATGTGGCATGCCTCGATCCCATACTCCTCATCACCATCTGGAATCACGGACAGCTGTATAGCTGTGTATGTATATATATATATATATACAGACATATATAGCACAACATACATCGTTTCATATGTATGAACTATACAGGATAGGACATCCCTTAGATGTGCTCCGCGCGAAATGACATGTTTCCTGTCCCTGGGCCGAAAAACTCATCACTTGGAAGCTCCTGGTTAATGATTGTAATAGATCTATCTATCTATCTATATATAATAATAAAGATCCATAAGAATTCTATGGGCAATTATTTAGGCCCCTAGCCTAGGGTTGAGCCTAGAAAGTGGCGTGGAACAGCGACTCTTTTCTTGGCCTGGGACTTTGGGAATACCAATCTTGTGCTTTTTGTGGCTCCGCTGTGGGATGTTGCAGATTCGGGCCCTCTGTTCCCACCAGGCCCTAAACCCTAAACCCTGAATCCTAAAGGCCCCCTGTTCCCGCCAGGCGACGATGGCTCAAGCCTTGGATTTGCGAATCGTTTCTCACTGGAATCTCGAAACTCTCGCACCAGACGTCCGCGACTTGATGATCAACATGGAGGTGTCGACGTTTGAGGCCTGGCTTGTGGGCCGTAGGTCCCAAAAGGTTTCTTTAGGGACCCTGAATGGGGACCCCTACCCTATAATGGGCTATACAATGGGTATATAATAGCTATATTAAGGGTATATACCTAGGGGTCCTTATTAAGGGTCCCTCCTTTTACCCTCGGATTTAAGATTGTTACAAGGGTTCGATCAGAGACAGGGTCGGTGGGTGTTCCGTCGCGACCCGGATCCTTCTTGTCCAACCCTTCCTCATTGCTTTGAAGGTTGGCCCTCGGGACGGTGGGGTTTAGGGTGTAGGGTTTAGGCGCCCTAAACCCTACGAAAAGGGGCCGAAAGACTGTTGTTTTGGTGGTTCCTCATTACAAGTATGGTAGAATGGGCCCCAGAACCCTATTCTAATTATGAAGGCCCCTACGTTTGACCCTTAGCTTTGCAGGCGCTGAGGATGATGTATGCGAGCGCGGAGGCTGTACAGAAGATGCGAGCCGATCTTGGCCGAGCCCTTGAGCTGCATGAGTGGTGGCAGGGTGGATGGATGGGAGCTTGCGAGTGGCTGCTGGAGAGGAGGCCTCCACTCCTTTAGGGTTTACGGTTTAGGGTTTAGGGCTTAGGCTTTAGGGTTTAGGGTTTAGGGTACCGAGAATTGGCCCAATAAGTTTGTATTTATCAGATCATTCCCGGCTTTTTCAGCACCTGTGCTAGCTGTTATTGCCCTTGCCAGACACAGCCACGCTACAAATCGGGCAACATACATCGGTCCTACATACCGCAAACATGCGTGACGTTCAGCTTTTTGTTGCACCGACTGTCATGCAAAGACTTTGATCACAGGTCCCCACGCACTGTTATAACTTCGAGCTCCGAGGTAGCAGTACTTTATAAGGCTTGTAATGCCGAGCCATATGAATACACATTGCAACAGGCTCCAAACAAATGCAGCCTCCCCCAAAACCAACAAATCGTAAGCCCAACACCTTGCAAACCCCAGGCCCTAAACTCCCTAAACCACTCTCGCCAAAGCCAAAAAAGCCCGGCAGTGCATTTTGATAATGAAGAGTTGCGAAAACAGGGGTACTTTTCTTTAGGGTGCTTATGACAAGGCCCCGTGTAGCAGAATACGAGCAGCCCGTTTTGTGGTAGTACACTGCGACGGGTAATCCTGGAGTATCTGCTGAGCCATTCGATAACATCAATCCGCTGTTGAAGGCCTGCACCCAACACGCCAAATCCTACATGCGAGCCTCTCAAACCGTGTTTCCTTGAATCCTCCATCCCATAAAACCTTGAAATCCACCGACTAATCCCGAATGTGCAGGGACATCTGGGAGGGGTGGATCTCTCTCAAGTCCAAGTGCTACGCTGGGCAGGGGATGCAGGAGGCTGGTTGGAGGGCGGTGGACAATGTGATTTTGTGGTATGAGAGACCCCAAACCCATAGTTCTACGGCAAAACCCTCAACCCTAAACCCCAAACCCTAAACCCTGACATGTACAAGCTTAGCAACTCCCTCCGACTCCTTGAAGGAAAGCCCATAGGCAGCTGTGATTCATAAAGGATCAGGACCTCGAAGTATCTCCTGACGCTCTGTTCATCCCACTTGCAGCCTTGGTTTGTCCTGATGCCCACATAGCAATTCAAAGACATGGATGTTGCACATATTCCTGACTGAATCACTCGATTATCTGATGGCAGAAAGTGGTGGAACCCCGTGGATTGAGACGATTAAACCCATATCTTGTCCACTTATGCAATTCTAACTTATGCAGAAGCGCCTTCCCTAAGCGATATTTTGATAGTCGTTCTAGAGCCTTTGCAAGCCCACATAGTCCGAGGATGGGGTCTGGCTGACGAAACGGTCGCTGAATGCGACTGTGACCTGCAGCTTGTGCCCAGCTGGGCGCTACTCGGCACTCCTGGAGGACGACCTTGGCGCCACGGCCGTGTGCCGCGCCTCGGCCGCAGAACGGAGAAAAAAGCGCGCCTGTGCCGGAAAATCCCCCAAGTCTGAGGCCCTTGCCGCCGGGGCACCAGCCGCCTGACAGAGCATTACGGATTTTGAGAGCACTTATAGGGCCTAGTCTAGTCTAGGCTCCTGGAGATGTCCGAGGCCAGAAGAATGCCGGGTCCGTGAGCTGCGACGCCTGCGAGGATGGCCACAAAGCGGACCAGGAGGAAGCGACTCACTGTCAGAAGTGCCCGCAAGGTCGGGGAGTCCCCGTTCTGTCACCGTCATAGTCCCGCTTTTTCAGAGGGCATGCGGTGCTTGAACTTTCCGCAGGCCAGTATCAGCCCGAGTTCGGCGCCACAAAATGCCGAAGCTGTCAGGGAGGCAAGACCACCGCAGTGTTGGGTGCAAGCAGTGAGGGCGACTGCATTTGCAGGACCGGCAGGCCGGAGTCATTGTATGCTATGTCCTACTGTAATATGCTCTGACTATGAGTGCTACTGTAATATACTCTGACTATGAGACACTATGGTGTAGTGCTATGGTACCACCATAATATGCTGTAGGCTGCTGTCATTCTCTTTGTATATTTCTCACTGATTGCTTTCCTGCTTCGGCCGAAGGTATTTGTGGAATGGCACGGAGTGCTTGTCTTGCCCGGAGGGCATGGATTGTCCTGGGGGCAGCGCCTTCCCGATGCAGCTGTCGGGATTCTGGGTGGAGCATTCTTACGTCGAGGGCCTCAGCTACTTTTCGGTGTTCTCTTGCCGCGACGCCTCGCGATGTCCAGCCGGTGAGCCTGGACAGTGTAATGTTGGGCGCACGGGGCGCGCCTGTGCCGATTGCTTTCGTGGCTATGCCTCCGACGTGGACGGCTCCTGCAAGCCCTGCGATGCTTTGTCTCTGTGGCCCTTCCTCCTGCTTCCGATTGTGATGCTGGGCTTGCTGCCGCTGCTAGTGGCAGCCAGCATTCTCATGAGCCGAGCGCGGCGGGTGGCCGTCAGCATCTTTATCGTTTGTGTGATCTTCGGGCAGCTGGTGGTGTGCCTGCAGTCCCTCGAGGCTTGATTTCAGAAGAGCTTCTAGATTCAAGCTCCACCTGTGTATAGTTTCTTGCCCGGCACTGTGAGGCCATCTATCAATTCGAGATCTCCTGGATCGACCCCGCAAAGGCCGTTTTGTCCTCGCTGGCCATCTTCAGTTTGGACATCGAGTTCTCCTGCATCTTGGACCCGCAAAGCCACGTCGTGGAGTACGGCTCGCAGCTCTTGGCCTACCCGGTGGTGCTGCTCGGGACCGTCGGCTTCTGGCTACTCGCCAGGTGGGTCAAGCGGCCGATCAGTTTCAACTCCTTCCTAAACCTACACGGCGTGCTGCTGGTGGCACTGCTGACGGCCATGTCCCTCACCGTGATGCGGCCCTTCCAGTGCCGGCCAAACCCCAACGGCCTGCATACGATGTCCACGCGCACGGACGTCATCTGCTGGAGCCCGGAGCATGGGCCTTTGGTGGTGCTGGCCTCTTTGGGCATCCTCGCCTACCCCGTGGCTATCCTCTCCACCATCGCCTTCCTGACGTGGAAGTATCCTACTTGGCTTCGGTCGGGCGGAGGCCTGGAGGTGCTGGAGAAGTACAAGTTCCTCTTCGGCCGCTTCCGACCCGAGCGCTACTACTACGCTCTGCTGCTTTCCGCGCACAACATGGTGGTGGCCTTGATCCCCGCAGCTTTGGTGGCGGCACCCGCGCTGCAGGTGGGCATCATGGGTATCGTCATCTGCATGAAGCTCACTGCGCAAAGCTTGCTTTGGCCGTGGCGCATCGACGCTGCCGCCTCAGTCGCAGAGCCACCCACCTTATGGGATTCTCACTTTGCCATGTGGGGGTTTAGATTTTCATCTTGCCTGTTTTCTCTGTTGTGCTAGTCGGCGAGGTGGCCAACTACAACGACCTGGTCCTCTCCACTGCACTGCTGATCCTGTTGCTCCTGGCATCTCCACTGCTGCGCCTGAACCAGACGGACACCAGCTTCCTCGTAGCGGTGCTGCTCGCTTGCGTGCTCTGCATCTTGCCTTTGGCGGCGCTCTTCACAGCCGGCCTGGCCGTCACCGTGCGTTTGCGACCCCAGAGCAAGTACGATGCCTTCCTCTGCCACCACAAGGCAGGTGCCGGGGCCCTGTGCCGCTTCTTCAAGCTCATCGTGCACAAGTACGGCCGCATGAACATCTTCCTGGACTCCGACGAGCTTGACGACCTCGCCCGCATCTTCGAGATCGTCAGTTCCGACACCCGCTGTGTCGTGGCCGTGCTCACGCCCGAGCTGCTGCAGCGTGCCCGTGCTGCAGTTTGCATTTTCTCGTTTGCCCCTCTTCTTTACCCCTTCAAGCTTCTCGACCCATGCGCCAGCCAGGCATGTGGTGTGCAGGGGAGATGACGAGTGCCCGGAAGTACGGCATCCCCATCATCCCACTCTACTGCGACGGCTTCGCCTTCCCGGACGAAGACTGCATCAACAAGATCGAGTCCGTGTGGACCGAGGAGCAACAATACACCTTGACGAGCCACGGCATCGCCATGGAGGACATCAAGGCTTGCGCCGATTCGCTGCGATTTCTGCGATCGCGCTTTTCTGTTAAATCTGCAGTGCCCTTGCCAGGCCACCTACCGGCACATCAGCACGCTGGAGGGCTACGCCCTGAGCCGTCACAGCAGCCTGGAGGAGCAGGAACGCCTGGTGCTGGACGTGGCAGCCGCCGTGCTGCGAGGCGGGGCGGGGCCCACCCCTCATGCGGCATGAGGCCGTGTCAGGGCACTGTCACGAATTTTTCCTCAGCAGGCACTCGGCGGGCGGACGTGGCGCCGCAGGGCTCCGTGAGCAGCGCGCGCATCCTGCTCTGCTCCACCGAGCGGGAGCCAGAGGCCATCTCCACCGTGCGCCTTGCCAGCAGTGGAAGCCAGTCGCAGCCGTCGCAGAAGCGCGTCATCCGTTTTGACCTTGCAAGCTCGCTTGCACATGCAGAGGCTGATCCTGCAGCAGATGGTGCAGCAGCAGCTCCGCATCGCCACCTTTCGCGTTCGGAGTTTGAAGGACATCGCGGCGGCCAGCAGCGCCTCCTTCGCGCTGGTCTTGTTGAGCCAGGGGGTCCTCGAGGATCCTGACTTCGCGCTCCAGATCGGGCAGATGCGTGCCAGGGCGGCATGAAGCAGCTCAAGTCGTTACTATTATGATGATGATGATTATTATTATTGTTATTATTGTTATTATTGTTTTTATTCTTATTATCTTACTATTAACTATTATTTTTACTATTCTTATTGCTAGTAATAAGAAGCAGCTTCAAGTCGAGACATGACATGGCCCAGGCGCCCAGATCCCTGCCGCCTCCCGCCTGTCAGGAGCACAGGGCCTGAGCTTTGTCCCCGTGAATGACGGCACCTTCCAGTTCCCGCCATCGGACTTCTACATGCAGGCGGGCGAGGGTCGCAGCGGCAGTGCTGTGGGTTAGATGTGGGCATGATTGTTATCCTCAGGTGGAGGAGGGCGGCGTGGCCGGGCTCGGGCCAAATGCCGGGCGCAGCTTGGCAAAGGCCTACCAGGCCAGCCCATGTCCTCCGTGCCACAACTCCTCTCTATCCTTCCGTATCTTTCTTCTGGCTTTCTTTGCCTTCACGGCTCCTCTGTGGATGGCTCTCCCGTCTTTCTTTGCCTTCACTGCTCCGTGCCAATCTGCTTCGTCCTTGCCGGCAGGCGCTGCTGGGCATCCTCGCGCTGCCCCTGACGCCCCACGCCTCCAGCGGAATCCTCGAGAGGCGCGGTGCACAGCTTTTCCGCTTGACATGAGCCCTGGACGAATACATAGTATATATAATTGTATATATATATATATATATATATGCTCACCCCCCCCCCCCCCGTTGACAGACCATGCCCTTGTGATAGTGTACCCTCGTTCGGTGACTAGGCTGAGATATTGCATCTAAACACACCACACATGACGACAATCTGTAAAGCAAATCCTTTACAGTACATATACCAAGTATACTTTTAACATGCCATGTACCGAGGACGCATGGACCAGATGCGCGACACGTGAGTTATGAGTTTTGTGGTAGCATTGATATAGGATGAGTATGAGTATTAATATTGGTATTAGTATTAGTATCAGCAATAGTATTAGTCTTTACTGTAAGTATGTATATATATATATATGTATATATCGACAGTAGTAAGTATACATTAATGTTAGTGCGCATCTTCGTTTTAGTCTTAGTGTTAGTGCCAGTGTCAATGCCAGTAATAGTACCACTGCTAGTATTAGTATCAGTCTTCATGCTGGGTTTAATATCAGTTAATAATGGCAGAGGTGCTAGTATTGGTATCAAAATTAGAGTTAGTTTCGATATGTTACTATTCTGATAGTTTCATATATCAGCAGGTTAGTATATCAACACATTGATGTGTTCGAGAGGCAACATATTTGTATACTTGCATATTCGTAGATTTAATACTTTAGTACAACTGATGCATGAGTAAACTAGTATATTGCTGTATTAATATATTAGTATATTAACATACCAGTATATTCGTACATTAGTGTATTAGTATACTAGTATATGCAATATAGGTGTATTGTCTAAAGATTTATAAGTGTATCAGTATGTTGTCGTATTAGTACACTAACCTGCCACGTCGGTATACTTGCATATTACAGTAGTCGCATACTAGTATAGTAGCATACTAGTATAATAGCATACTAGTATAGTATATTCACACATTAACAAGTAGTGTATTGTTACATTGGTATGTTGGTATATGGGTATATGCTTGTCCTAAAACATCAGTACATGAATGCATTGATACATATCGGCATTTTAAGTTAATGGTATGTGTTCTGGTGTGCATTAGCATATGCACGTGTCTTTTGTAATGGTATTAGTCTTCACATCAATATGAATATGACTATTGGTATTCGTAGGAGTATTAATGTTAATATTCGAATTAGGATTATCCATAGTCGCAGTAGCCTTAGTATAAGTGTTAATAATGGTATTAATACTGGCATTATCTTGAATATTCAGCAAGTTATCAATGTCAGTATTAGTATTGGTGACAGCATTACTGTTAACAGCATAAGAGTATACGCGGTAGTATCCGTAGGAGTATCAATACTTATGTAAATCTTGGTGTTGGTATAAACAGTGTGATTGGTATTAGTAATAGTGCTAGTGCGAGTGCTAATATTAAAATGAGGTTATGTATTCGCATGAACGTTTGTCTTATATTAGTATTATTCCTGATTACATGAAAATACTAACGAGCTAATGTATTTGTACTTTAATATAGTGGTATGTATATTTATGTACATTGGTATATGCAGGTGTGTATTAGTATTGGAATTAAAATACACTACTACCAATATGAGCATAATTATTGATATGCGTAGGAGTATGAACGTCAGTGTTAATCATTATTAGTATTTGTTATTTGTATGGTGCCTATTCGTATTGGCTTAAAAAAGTGTAAATATTAGTGTTAATGCTGGTATTAGCTTGGGCAGTCAGCAAATGATCAATGTCAGAATGAGTATTGGTAATAGTATTCGTAGGAGTACCAATTTAGAAAAATAGATAAACACTGACAATCGTCTAAACAGACCTTGCCTTTGCAAGTGAGTCGTAGTGCATGGTCTGTCATCCGATGGGTCACAATCAGCCCATTGAAAATCAATTCCAGAAGTTCCAAAATTTCCAAAATTTCCGAAATCTCCGAAATCTCCGACCCGACCTAGCCGACAGGATTTTTCCAAAACATAAGGGCTGACTTTTTGGAAATTTTGGAAATTTTGGAAATTTTGGAAATTTTGGAAATTTTGGAAATTTTGGAAATTTTGGAATTTTTGGAATTTTTGGAATTTTTGGAAATTTTGGAAATCCGGAAAGTTAGGGGAGAGAATTTTGGAAATTTTGGAATTGAGTTTTTGAAAGCTGAGTGCCACCTCCCCCGATCACAGACCATGCGCTACGACTGAGTTGAAAGGGCATGGTCTGTCAACGGGTCTCAGTCTTTTGGTGGTTCCACAGATACGTTCGGAGGGCTCAAACTCGATACCCCGGAAAAAGCACGAACACGCCGGTGGGAGCGATGTTTTGAAGGGGATGGTCTGTCATGGGGGGTGGGGGTGACCATATATATATATATATATATATATATATATGGTACCCCCCCCCCGGTACCCAGGTTGTGTCCTGTTCAAGTCAGACGCCTTGTCCCTGATATTTGTTTGTGTTCCTTGGTCATTGCGTCTCATGGAAAGCACGTTTTCGTTTACTGTGGCTCTCTGGGCTTCTAAGTGTAGCGTCTACTGTATTGTTGCTCCCGAGCTTTCTCCAAATCGATGGAACGTGCTGGAAATGTTGGAAAACCAACAATTTCCATGATCTGTCTGTGGGGAATCATGGGAATTGTTGGTTTTACCAACATTTCCAACAATTTCCATGATTCCCGAAACTATGGCTCGGGCTCCCGAGGTTTTTCCAAATTCATGGAAATTGTTGGAAATGTTGGTAAAATCAACAATTTCCATGATTTGTCTGAGGGGAATCATGGAAATTGTTGGTTTTACCAACATTTCCAACAATTTCCATGATTCCCGAAACTATGGCGCGGGCTCCCGAAGTTTTTCCAAATTCATGGAAATTGTTGGAAATGTTGGAAAAACCAACAATTTCCATGATCTGTCTGAGGGGAATCATGGAAATTGTTGGTTTTACCAACATTTCCAACAATTTCCATGATTCCCGAAACTATGGGGCGAGCTCCCGAGGTTTTACCAAATTCATGGAAATTGTTGGAAATGCTGGAAAAACCAACAATTTCCATGATTTGTCTGAAAGGGGATCATGGAAAGTGTTGGTTTTACCAACAACTTCCAATATTCCCGAAACTGCGGCTCCGGCTCCCGAAATTTCTCCAGATCCATGGGAATGGTTGAACATGCTGGTTTCGCCAACATTGTCCACAGTACTACATATTTCAATACGTTGTTACCGAAAGTTGCGATTGAGCAGATCTTACGTACTCGTGCGAGGCGTTTTGCAGACAAGCCGGTAAGGTATTTGCATCCTTGATTAAACTCACGAGCTGGTCCAACACGAAGCTAGGCAATTCATAGTCTCCGCTTGAAGACACTACTGTGGGAACACCAGTTCATGGGTTTTCTGTTTATCACGTACAAGGCTGTACTCCATGTCTAAGATACAAAAATTTATGATAGGAAAGCTATTGCTGCACGACCAATGCAAGCTTAGCTGGCTTAATCACCCACTTCTTAAGATAAATGTAGAAGGATCTACTTCTGTTGCTTGGTGTTTGCATGGGGGTCTTTGGTCGTTGTGGTTGTGTATTCTTTTTTGGTGTGCCACTGGTGCTTACAAAAAAACAAAGAGCCAGTAGTCAAAAGACTACCATGTGTAACAGAATTCTGACATACATCGTTGTCAACTTGTCATCATTTGGTAGGTGCAGACTTTCGAAAACGATTCTGCGACCAATAAAATGGATATTAGCTGTATGATGCACGCACTTTTGATGAACTGCACTCGGATTAAACATGTCGAAGTCACCTGACGTGAAAAAACTATAGTCGAACACATTACTTACAACATACAACCTAGCGTGTAACACGCAGCCCCGGCGTGTTGGATCATGTTTGATTTGGAAGACTAACAACTCACTCTCAGCAGGTAAAAAGCAAGCGCAAATGTGTGACTTGGTTAACCATCATCCTACCAAGAAGTGTGTTGAAGCACAAGTGTACGTATTCACGTGGTGCTCTCTGGTAGGTTTATACTCAACTTAGCAGGGAGTATAAAACACAGGACTCAGCAGGTACTTCATTTACTTCATAATGCTTGGCTACTATTAAGCAAGGTTCCCGAACAATATACGAAGCAGTCTGAATGAACAATCACAACAGTAATAGACACAGTAAAATTTGATGCAGAAATTAAACAAGCCGGGTGGTACATGGTCCTAAATGGCCTGGTATTGGTGAAGTATGATAACCACTGTAACAGGAATAATGGCAATTTACAAGATGTGATCACAACACTGTGAGAGGTAATATTAAAACCACACTTGACATTTGAGCTCGATATAGAAGAACAGAACATGTAGCAGTTTCATGACTGGGAAAAGAAACGGAGATCAGATTCCTAAGGCAATGGAGACTATACTTGCAGTAGCAATTGCGAAGCTTACACACACCATCGTGAAACACGATTTCATACTTTTGTCGCTATTGACTGCTAATTTGACAGACACGCATGAATCATTGTACAGTGCTGCGGAGACTAAAGGCTTTGACAAGTATACTGACACTATATGACACTGCTTTAGGCTTATTCCATATATGTCTGTATGAACCAATGAACACAGCAGTTCATGTGAGAGACTGCAACACCCACCACAGCAATGACATTGTTGCCTGTGTAAAAAAACATAACGACAGCCAATTAATCATAGCCACTATCCACCTTGATCCGAAATCTGCGTGCATGGCCTTGGGGATGCTACAGTATCACCTCTATGCCGTGCAAAGTTCTTTCTCTTACTGGGTTTCAGTAGGCCTGCTTCGCCATACCCTGCAGTTTGTCACACTCGCTCACTACTAGTACTATAGTTCGGCTTATCGCGACCATGCGCGTGCACTTGCAGCCTTTTCTGTCCGACTTCTTTCGTGCTATCAGCACAAAGACGAAAACCTGGGTACCTGAGGGGGGGGGGTAGCATATATATATATATATGCCTACATATATTATATGTGTATAATACTCAAACTT